AACACTAATGCGACACAAAATACTGATAGTAGTTAGCGAGATTGTTTGTATATACGTTGGGTTTTTTTAGATCTCTGGCTGCCTGCCGGTAGCCCGCGTGTCCCGCAAAATTTGAAAATTTGTGATTAAAGTGCGTTCAATGTTATACCTATGCGCAGAAGCTACGCAAATTGTGCAAATACATGATAAATGATTTCACACGGTAAACCTCCAGAACCAAAATTGAATGAGAACAGCTCGTGTTTACACTTAAGTTATGCGCAGACCAAAGCTGTCGGTTGAGTCTCCGCAAAAAGGAAGGGAAATGTGACTCATACAAGTTACCAGTCCAAGCACCGCCCCCGTGACATCTCTCGTTGATAATTTCTTATTAGAATTTATTTTATTTTCAACCTTGACCCTCTTTCGTTTTGAGACAAGCGTGCGGTGAGCTAACGATTGTCGGAGTGAAAAAACCGCGTGCGTCGAAGGGAGTAGACAGCTTTCGCCCACTTCACATCGGTCTCGTTGAGTGAGCCACGATGTTTGGTGAATCTGCCGGCTCCTTGTTTCCATACTAAAAAAGTTTAACCGGTCAATGACGTAGATGACTTTTAAAGATACGACAAAAATGTGGTGCTATAGACTAGAGTCCCTTAATACTGAGAGTCAAGACAATGTGAATCCATTTCTGATTGGTTCCCCTATTTTAGGCCTTCACAGTGTCACAGACGGGAATAAAGATTACATTTTCAACGATTGCAAAGATTATAGTCTGGAATGGACCAGGGAATTACGGGTTTGGCAAGGTACAAACGGAATGAGAGAAAGGAATTTGAGAATGGGCCGATCAAAGATTACAAAAAACGTTCAATTTCTGTAATCTTTATTCCCGTTTGTGACTCCATGAGGGGGTGTTGTCTTGACTCTCAGTATAAAGGGACTCTACTATTGACTAGATATTGCACCCATGTGAATTCGTACACTTTGTTCGTTCTGAACTTTTAGCTGCAGGTGATTAAGAGGTATATCGGTAATAGAATGGTGATGCGTAACCGAGAAGGGAGTTACACTCACTGGTTCTTTCAAGGGTGCTGCACCTCGCTGAGTAGTATCATGCAGAAACCGACTCTGTATTAACGTTACGATTATGAGCTCATTACTGTCTCGCCACCGACTCAGGAGTATGCTGCACTAACAAACGATGAGCCTCGGGAGACTTTACGGTCTGTCGTACCGACGCGCCGTTGCCAAACATACAGATAGGCTAACAGGCAATGCGTTCTTTTACGTAAATTTATCAAAAGTAAGACGGTATCTGCAGAAAAATAAATAAAAAATATTCCAGATTGATGAAAGTGAATTACAGTCAATTCCGCTTAATTGGGACCCTGGCTAATCAGGACACCTGCTTAATTGGGACAAAATCGCCCATGAACGGAATATTTTACCAATTAGCAAGGTAAAAAACTCCGCTTTATTGCGGCAGAACTCTGATTTATCGGGACACTAATCTTCCGGAAGAACGATTAAATCACGCCAAAATTCCCTAAAAATGCGCAAGAAGAATCAAAACGGTCAAAACACGAAGACTCTGGCGATGACGAACCACCGCCCCTTATGTTTCATTAATTGATGATGCAGAGAAAAAAAAAAGTTGAATGTCTCAAAAGACTCTGCATTCAAGAAGAAACAAGGAGGACATTACGTCAATGCTTGGCCAATCTTCAAAGTGACCATTTTCCCTCTGTTTTCGATGATTTTAAGGGAACTTCGGTTTATCGCGAAATTCGCTTAGTTGGAACAAAATTCCCCAGGACAGCAAGCCTTTCGATCAAGTGGAGTTGATTGTAAAACATGGTGTCTAAGATACCGCGAAAGGGTGGCAACAAATCGTGGGTACATATAGGCTTTGAGAGAGTAGCATGTAACAATCGCTGATAGGTGTTGCAGCGCAGCGGAAGGTGAAGATGCAAGGCCAGAAATAACCACCTCCGCCCCCTCCCTCCCCCACCCTTTTGGCGTTCCCCGAGTCATTTTTCGTTTAATGCACCCGAATGTATGAATTGTTCAGTGAACTCCTCCAATTACCCGGCATCCTGCTCTATATTCGTCAGCATCCACCAGGAATCGACTTTATCGCCACACCGCGCCGGCCGGGCCGACCGCAGCGTTTTCTGCGAATCACGAGATTTGCCACGATCTCGCTCCGCGCTGGCGAGTTATTTTTGCTCCTCAATCGACTTCGGCAGCCGCTCGTCCGAGTTTGATCCGCGATGAGAGGAAAACTCGAAACCGCGGTCTTATATACCGCTGGACGATATCAATGTAAAGTCATGGAAAAGCGATGTGTATGCGTCGCAGGCATATTATAAAATCAGGCATTCTGTCAAATGCCTAGGCAACATTAGCGGATGCAAATTGGTAACATTGTTTTTCCCCCATTTAAACCTATGGAAATGTATCGATTCTTGGAGGGGACAGGTGCTCCGACAAGAATCGATTATTCAACATAGGTTTAAAAGGAGGAAATGCGCTAATGATGATAAAAATAAAGAAGATGAAGGAAATATCAATCATGATTTTATCTAGTTAATAACATTAGTTAGATGATAAACTCGATTATTCCGTCTATAACGAGATATGACAACAATGTTACATGTGCAGTGTTAAACGCGAAAACAGCAAATACATATTAGCTGGACGGATGTTCCCTACGTGCAGTGCGAGGAGATACAAATCGTGTTTGTCTGAAAATTCTGAGAATGTTGTCATTCGAGGAGCAACGTTCAATTATATGTACAAAAGGACGTGCAATCCAAAGTTTAATTAAATAATGTAAATACACGCACAGGCCTCTTAAGAAGCCAGACATTGTTCGGGTAAGGTAGCACGTAAAAAATGCGCATCCAAACAACCCAAGGGAAGAATGCGGTTACTTACGACCTTTCGGTGACACGGAGAGAACATAATGCACATTAATGCAAAAAATATTCTGGTATTTTACGCTTTTATTTTTGCTCTCAGGCAGAGGAGACAAAATTTGCCTCAAGAGTGGGGAAAGTGTCACAAAATCTTCAAAAATCTATCAAAATTGGACGCATTTACGCGAGAGCAATCTATTCAAAATTATACCGGAAAAAACAGGACAGTCGTCACAACCAACGGCTGGTTAAAAAGCGACTGCTATCGTGCGGTGGTTACGATAACTACCGTGTTAGAGGACGTAACTAGACAGGTACTTACAACCACTACCATGATAATTGTAACCACCGGGGTATCTTATTTCTCTCTGATATTGAGAAAACATACCAATCTCAAAATTGGACGGTTTGAATTTTAAATTGGGTTTTGAAAGCCGTCTCAAGGGTAATTTTCTACCTATCTGCCAGTTCAGTCTCATTTACAAATCAAAAGCAAGAAATCAAAAGATTCTCAGCTCCATCAGGTTTTGCAAAGATAGCGCATGGTATTTTTCACTGTAAAACAACCTGAGTGCCTTCGCTTCATGAATTTCTCTTCATAATTATGATTTTAGGAGAGCAAGAATTATTTTGCCACTTGATTCAAATTAAATAAAACAGAGAAGCACTCACATTATTTTCGGAACACCTTACGATAGAGTACCTATATTGAGAGAGTATGGCCACTGGAGTTACCACCTCTGATTGGCTCAGCCATCTTAGGCTGAATGGAGCCCTTAGGACCCAAAAATGGCGGACGCCATAAAGTTAATGTAATGCAAAATGATTCAAAATGTAGTTGTCTTTGCTTATCGTAACGAGAACTTTACCCAAATGCACTATTGCGACTTTTTTACATATTTTTAAGGCTAATCGTGTGCAATTTTTGAGAAAAATGATCTTAGATGTAGTAAGGTTGGCAGCAAGTGCGGTTGGTGATAACCGTCAAAAGTTGGCAATGACCCCCCTCCCATCCTTAAAAACCAAAACAAAGCACCGCCATTTTTGGGTCCTAAGCCTCACCATGGGACCCAGTGGCCATACTCTCTTAATATAGGTACTCTACCTTACGAGACGATGCTTCACATTTGAACTCCTCGTTTTCAAGGGGCGATTCATTATTCCGGCACCGGGTTGGCAGTTACAGGCAATCGGTTTTACGAGTATTTATATTCGCCGTTACTGAAACGCCACCGGTCGGCTGGTCGCCGTAATGATCGGACATAAAATATTACGAGGAATTGCCGCCACGCGATTGCTTTTCCAACGAACTTGCCGGGGGATGCGCATGGCGATGCTGCATCTGTCGGCGTCGATGGAAGGCGGAAAACCCTCGCTTTACAGGCGGAAAAGTCGTAACTACATATTGAGATAAGCCCTGTCGCTCGCACAACCCTACGCTGTCACCGGCTCACGAGGGCATGATGTTACGCCCTTACGTCAGCGAAGAGATGAAGTGCATCCTCCACGTGTCTGCATCCGTCCAGCTATGTGCAGTATTCTGCCGTACTAAAGAAAAACGCCGCTCGAGCCTTCAGGCGTTGCCCAACCATGCTTCGTAAACCACGAATTTTCGGGAGAATTTGCGAGAAAATTTCCTCCAATTTTTTGGATAATTTTGTTCGCGATTTCACCTAAAAGTCCTGAAAATTTCAAGGAAAAATATTCATAGCTTTCCTCAAACATAAGCATTATATCGAAGGAAATTCGGCAACTCTCGAAAGTTCATACGGCATTTTTTCTTAGCACGGTAGTATTGTGCAGCCCGTGCATTGGATACGAGAGAAAAACGCCGCGTAATTGGATAACATTGATGTGGAAGGGGCGGTAGAGGATTAGAAAGGCGGAGAAGAAGAAGAAGAAGACGAAGACGGAGGTAATAAGAAGAATCTGAAAAAAAAAAGACGGAAGGAGAACAACTAAAAAACAAAAAAGGGAAAGAGAAAAAGAAGGAGAAGAGGAGGAAAAACAGAGAAGAGAAGAAGAGGAGAAGTAAAGAGATAGAAGAGAGAGATGAGAAAGAATGAGAAGAAGGAAAACTTGTGTGCAGATACATACCTGATAAATTTTCCGATTCAATTTTCAGTCTTTCGGTGATGAAAGAGACTGTCTCTGATGTGTTCGCATCTGTGAACATAAAAAAAAGGAAAGAAGATTAAACTAGGCAAAATCCAATATCGTATAGAATTTTCCATCGATAATTTTAACGGCAGATTACGTTGGTGACAAATGAAAATACGAAAAAGAACACATTTTTATTTTGTAAATGTGTGCATACGAAGCCCTTTGAACAAAACAACATGGACAAAATTGATTTCAACATGATGACAGGACTGTCCGATTATGTGCTAGTCGGAGATTCGCATTTTTTAATTTACTCATCGATGTAAACTAGCATATTTGGAGAAAACATCCCACTGGTTGTAGGCGCCAAACCCGACTACACATGTATTCATATCAGCAGAACAAGCGTTCTCCTCTCAAACAAATTACATTCATTAGTTTCCTACCACCCCCGGCAGTCCATTTCCGTCACTTCCCTCAGCAACTGCACAGTCTTAGCCGCGAAGGCCCTCACGCATACTTTGACAAATCGCATTCTCGATGACCCAAGTCTGAAACGAGCTCTAGCACTCCGATCGCAGCATCACGACACGAAACTCCGCTATTTCAGATTTGAGGGCACGCCCAACAGGTCTCCGGCCATTAAAAAATGATCCAGACAGTTGCGGCTGACAAATATCACCTAAAACCCTAGAATTCCTCAATTATCAGACGAGAACTTAGCGGAGGAATGTGCGCTTTGGCAGCGAATAGCGAAGCAACCCTAGACGTCCACCATCGGCATAATTCGTCGCTCTTCGAACGTAAGGGCGTAACTGACTTTTGTGTTGAGCCCTCTTGTTCATATAACTACAGGTGTTTCAGAGCTCACGTGAAGGTGGAGATACGCCCTTACGTCAGGACGAATTATACGCGTTGCAATTTGAGGACGCATGAGCATCGCTCCGTGCATCTGCATCAGTGCGAACGCACTTTATTTTTATTTTTCATGGGTTGAGACCACTCGAGGTGTGCTGCCAACTGGCCAACTGCTCGTGAGGTCAATTGCATGAATTGGCAGTCGACTGCCGCACAGTGGATCGAGTTAATCAGAGAGGTCGGACATAAAATTGTTGACTAAAACTGCAAATGTCGATGTTTATTCCGTCATATTTTAGATTTCAAGGGATTCCCCCTTTTTTAAGAAGCCCTGTCAACACTAGCAAAAGTTCACGGAACTTTGTGCGAAAATTAAGTTCCGTAAATCTATCTCTGTGTGGACAGACCCTTCATTTATGAGAAAAGAACGAAAAAATTATGAAAGAATAAACATGAATGTGGTTTAATGATTTTAATTTCCGCCACCGCGCTATGCGCACTGTGTTTGGCGTAATGCGTGAAGTATTCCTGCAGTCTTGTAGGAGCTATGCGTTTCACGCCGACCGCTGCCGACCGCACTACGTTTGACGCAATGCGTGAAGTATTCATGGAGTCTTGTAGGCGCTAATATGTGTTACATGCCGACCGCCGCGCCGAGGGCTTCTCCTTTCTATCTCAGTCCTCGTCATCATTGTTCTCTGCGCCGCGCCGCTCCAGGCCAAATTGCGTGTTTGGTTTCTCTCTCAACTTGACTAATAAAAGGTGATGTCTCTTGTATCACCGAAAGACGAACAAATTAGAAATTACTATACTTCAACTCTCAGGAAATGAGAGATTTTTTCGCCTTTTCTCGTTTGTAATTTTTTTTTTTTTTGAATCAGATATTTTTCTTTATACCTACTTCTGAAAAAATTACAACATTTGCCGCCCCCTAAATTTGCCGCCAAGGGCCGCGGCCCATGTGGTCACCCCCTAAATCCGGCCCTGTTTGTAAGTGTCGCACCAGATGGTTTTAAAATTTCCAAGGAAACACCCAGATCCGTAGAAACGTTTTGCCTAACGGCAAAACTGCACAAGAAACATTTGGAAGAAATTTGGAAGAGCTAGAAAATTTTACAAGGAGACCACTCGCACCACTTTTAAAACCTCAAGGTTTTGTACAAACGGAGTTCTAAGTTTTTAAAGTTTCAGAATTTTGTCCAACCTCTCCGGTTAACTCGATCCACTGTGTGCCGATAGTGCTACCATCAACCAACAACCAGATCATACAAGCGAGCGCGCGCTGCTGTCAAGATTCAGCTACCAGCGAAATTTTGATATAAATATCCAGTGAAAGTCCGCCATGTTCGGATTTTTGCGAAGACAGCCCGCTATAGAAAAATCCTCGTAATGAGGGGTTGAAGGTTAAAATGTATGTTCAAAGGGCTATACTACTGAAGCGTGTTCGGTGTGGGTCAATATTGGGCTTTTAACTCCATGAAGTTTTTTTTTCTTTTTTCAAAAGAGACTACTTAGAATATTTTCCTATTTAGGAATATATTTCCTATTTAGAACTACAGCTCTTAACCACATTCGGGTGAATCACAGTTTTTTCTGAATATTGATGACAGTTATGGACCAACATTTAAAAAAATTGCTAATACCTATATTTCTAGCGCTGCATTTATTAATAGTCACAAAAATATCGAAATTTTATGATAAATACGGAAATTTTTTAGGGGAGTGGGTCTTTGGTCTTAAAAAACATGTCTCACTCCTCCAACTCTTTGAAATCCCTCTTTCACTACATATTCAATATTTTTGTGGTCATAGAAGCATTCAGCGCTGAAAACTATAAGGGTCACCCATTTTTAAGAAATTAAGAGAGAATAAAAGCACGTTTTTCCGAAAATCTGATAGAGCCATAGCTCTGACTAAGGACACTTAAAGAAAAAGCTTAACAAAGTAAAAAATCAATACTTTGAGCCAAAGTAAACGCCTCTACATTCTGACGGTTTAACCACAGATCAGTGTTGTGACAATCAATTCTGGTGAAACATAATCTTAGACAAAATTTAATTCATGCGAGACTTATATTGGTACAAGAAATGAAACTGATATTTTTAAGATAAGTAGTGTAAACAACAGTCACCACTTGATTTCCAAATCATCCGTACGATTTACATTTTCCCATAATTCGAGGAAACTTTGACAACGATGGAGATGGAATTGTCTAAGCCATCAAGCTAGTCAAGCAGTCATGCATCAATGGACGGTATACAAGGCAAGTCCCCCTATTTAATACAGATATCCATATAGTCCAGTCAATCTAGCTTTTTACCTCGGACAAATTAGCACAAACTTTTCCTTTGGTATATAGGGTCTCTAGGTACCCAATAAGACAGAAAAAAAAGTTTACCAAAAAATTCCACCGGGAAAGTGGTCAAATCGCAGTTTTTCAAAATGGCGGCTTACGGCAATTTTCAAAGAGGACGTACATACGGATTTCCCTTTATAACTCAAAAATAATGCGTCAAACCAAAAAAATGTGGCATTAGTTTGAAAGATCATAAAATTTTGATTAAGAATCATATACAAAACTTAGGCTTTTCTTATTTTCTTCTTTCCGAATTTTAATATTTAAAAACAACAACCGGCAAAATCTGCTGAAAATTCACGATTTCTCGCGTTCTTGACCAATTTTAGGTCAAAATAATTAATTTAAGGTTAAAAACAACGGCACCACTGAAAAGTACGCTTAATTTTACATAAGTATACCCATTCATTTTACCTTTTCATCTTATATGACCTCATTGTGAGACGAATCATTCAAAAGCATGAAGTCAATATTCAACTACAAATTCAGCTGTTTTTTTCCGTTTCCAGCGCTTTTGATCAATTATTTTTCGACAAAAGTATAACTTATATATACTTTT